AATCGTACTTTATTTACTGTAAAAAGCTGGATTTTACCAGCCCTTCTCTATATTATCTTCTTGTATTTGAACCCCGATTGGGACATTGCCACCACATAGAAGACCTCTTTCAATTGGAGCCCCAGTACTGAATTAGGTTATGGAGTCAATCATTACTCATGAGCTCTACATCCCTCAGTTTACCGCCTTCTACCTGACGAAGAGTCTTAGGAAATCGTAGATGAGGGGGTTACAACTTCTCCTTGCTAGCGAAGGTAGCGATATGGGTATCGACGACGTCAAAATTGACTTCACCTGCTTATTGGCTAGTAATAGCGAAATAACTTGTCTTAGTACATGTTCACGGTGCCTAAAACTGTAATTGAACCCCTTGAATTTGAAGCCCTGTTTAGGAGGGCTTCAAATATTATAAGCAGCTAATAATACCGTTTTTACAGTATTGTGCTTTTCACTTGTTTTGGTGGGTAGAGCGTTAAATCAGGCGGAATTAGATTCAGAAAAAGGCTGTCAGCACACATTTAATGCTAGTTAAGCATAAGGTTGTGAACTCTTCCCCTACACCGCTGACCAGCTGGAATGGCGGCCAGCAAAACGCCAAACGCCTTCATATCCCTCTTATCAATACTCGGGCTTGATTAGCTTATCCCATGTCACCTTAAAACAGGCGGAGATGAGACGACCCATAAATAGCATGGAATTAGCGGCATAATTGAGGCTGAGAGGGGAATAGAATTATGCCAGACTAATCGCGACAGAATAACTGAAAGGCACAATAGTTTATCGTTATCTAATCCCGTAGGACCTAAATGGGACCAGATCTGCAGATGACCTGTTTAAAACCTTGCCCCCTTCAAACGTTCAAGACGCAGTGAAGCTGCCTCTTTGAGAGACACTTATAAAGTTCGAGCACGAGCGGCGGAGCCAAATTTTAATGTAGAATGGCCCACGAAATGCCTTCAGAACTACCAAAATACTGTATTGTCGACAAGATGACTGTTGGTATATTTCTCTCTCTCAGTACTAGTTTATGTTCCTGCGGCAGTACTGAACTGCTTACGTTTATTGAAATCACATTTTTACATGATTTCGATATTAGTAGCTGGCTAAAAAAA